TTTCACACAATTACTAATCTCCTAAGAATGTACAATGTTATCAGTCAGGAAACAATTGTGCGAAAGTCTTTTTTTTTCCTTTTAAACTTGATGTAGGTGGAATAGCAAGTTTCTGATCTAAAACAAGTAATGCATTGCTTCTATAAAGGTGACAACATGTAAGGCAGTTCAAAGAATGCTGACTAACCAAACAAAATGCAGTTATTGGATTATCTTGCTATTCATATCAGCTTAACTTGTTATAACGCATTGCTCTTAAATCTGTACAGCACTCCATTTTACACAGAGTAACCCCACTCTTGATTAATCTGTTCTAAAGTGCCAGTATTATTTACACATTTTTTTAACCAAAAGTCTGGCCAGTTGTGGCATCAGGTGAGGATGTCATCCCAGCTCTATTATCATTTACATTCACCAAGGGAAATTCTGGAAACTCAGCACTTGTCCCTGGTCCCCGAAGGTTCACCTGTCCATTGGCAGTGCTAAATTGAGTAGCTATTCCAGCTCTGGATCCATGATATGGAGCACGGAAGGGCTGTTCAAAAGAGCTCATTTGGTAAGCTTGGTGGACAGGCTGAGCCTCAGCTTTCTTCTGAGAAGTCACTTGATCCAAAAAGTCCTGTGTTGATGTCGCAGAAGCATGGTTTGTCTCATCACCTGAAAAGGGAAATGAGTGCTGTGAATCACCAACGATTAGTCCAAAGTGGGACTTATCCGGAGTTGTTCTTAGTGGAGAATTCATTCCTGATCGAAAGCTATTGATGGGCATGGCTGCATAGACTTGCTTGTCTATGGAAGAGAATGCTGGCTGATTTGGAAGGGTCTGGTTATCAGTCACAAAGTTAAGGCTCGGGCTATTCAAATAGGCATCATTTTGGCTAGTTCTGTCCAAAGCCTGCTGCAGAAACTTTGAGTATTCCTGCAACATGTTGGCTTTATCTGACGAGGATGCTTGGGAGCTTGACCCAACATTCTCCGACTGGGTGACCTCAGGAACTTCTGAAGAATTTATTGATATGCTAGAAGTCACCTCAGTGTCCGCAACACTGAATGTTATCTCATGCTGTCCATTAGCTTTATGGGAATAGTGATCCAACAGGGTCTGTAGTACCTCATCTGGAATAACATTTTTGTCATGATTGCTCTTTATCTCCACATTCAGTGCCTGTGAATCTAAGATGGATGCTGTGGTGCTCTCATCAATGACACTTGCCACAGCCGCCTGCGTCACGGAAGGCTGAGAAGCTATGGTACCCACATTCAGCGCATACTCCCTACTGTTGTTACTTGCTGCCTGAAGATACCGCTTCTTCTTCAAAAACTGCATGGCATCATCATAATTAGTGCTGCTGTGCACAGGTTTACTGGGCCCCTCTTGCAAATTGTCAACCTGGTCAATGTCGGCATTGCCTTCTGAGTCCAGTAAAGCCTGTTTGTCCACAAGTTCAAAAGCATACTTTGAAACTTTGCTCTCTTCATAAGTGGATAAAGGTGAAATTGTTTGATTTTGCTCCAGAGGCTGTTTCAGACTTCTCTTACTATTAATTTTTTTGAGAACCAGCTTAGGTGGATGTATTTCCCCTGAGGCATCTTCTAAATGGGATCCCCCAACCGAAGAGTGTGGCATTTCAACAGCATACTCTGCTACCATATACTCATCTTTTACTTTAGTACTTGACGAGTAAAGGGGCAAGTAATCATTTTTGTCCTTCTTCAGGTCAGATTTGTCCAAAGAACTCTCTTTGTCCATCCCAGATGATTTTTTCTCAGTTTTCTGCCTTTTCTTTTTTGGCAGTGAGTTATCTTTTGGTGATGTAGAAAAGCCAGAATCTTCCTCGGATGTCAGAAGGCCACCTTTGATGGCACATCTGTTTAGTTTTTTGTCATGATTTTCATGGCACATACGTTTATGTTTCAATACACGATCTGTTCTGGAAAAATACTGTTGATTTCAAAGTTCAGAAGTGAGTTTTTTGTTTTAGTTTGTGTTTTGGTCAACCAAGAAAAGAAAAGAAAAACAGCAATTAATATAAAGATAGATATAATATGAGCAATTCCAAACTAATTTGCTGAACAAACTGTCATAAACCTAATCAACAACAGTTAGGAAGTCCTTCAAGCAGTCTGAGTAGTACCATTTTCTACATTTATTAGAATTACTTTATAATTTAATTTCAGATAAAAGACTCTCAATGTCAGTCATGCCTCAATAAAGTGGTTAAGAAAAAATTCAAACCATCTCTTACCTGTAAACAGTATTCACACTGGTAAGGTTTTTCTCCACTATGAGTCCTCTTATGCCTTTCCATATGATATTTTTGAATGAATCTCATACCACATTCATCACAGCGAAATGGTTTTTCACCTGGTACATGATATAAAAAGTTTAAAACATAAAAAATATTGGAAAATAAAGAATTACTTTACCACAAGAACCTATAAATAAATGGCTTTTGAAGTTGCCATACTATCGTTTTGGGAATAATTAAATTGAGTGCTGTTTGAGGACTTCTCTGCTATAAGGAACCATTACTAAGAAGATCAAAAATAGTTGTTACTGATAAAGCTACAGCCTAAGTAAACAGAAGGGGGTAACAAGAAGTTATCTTGAACAATGCTTGTTTGGGAAACTACTTTTTGTACTTTTCATACATTCAACAAAAGTTTACTGAATACGTCTCCTCCACTCATAACCCCATTGCAGGAGGTTAAAAGTATAAGATATAAAACTCTTTGTCTTCAAAGAGTTTTGACCTAATTGGGAAAACAAGGTCCACATATTATAAAGAAACAACTGACAAAACTATATTCAGCTCTGGTTTACCTTCACAACTTTATATCCCACTGGTTTGCTTCTTAACCTTTTCCTCCAGCCAAATCAAAGAACCTACCATTTCACGCTTTTCTACTTCTGCCTCGATCCACACTGCTCCTTCAGTCAGGCATGTCCACCTCTGTGTGTTCAGGCACTACATTCCCTCCAAGGCCCAACCCATCTCCTCTGGGACCCTTTGCCCTATTCCCCCAGAGGAAAGGTATCTTTATCTTCTTGAACTTTAGCTGCATTGCTTCTATGGCACTCATTATTCTCCTCTTAGTAATTATTTTGTACAACTCTGTTCTTTTACTAGACTATGTTTCTTTAGGTCATAATCTGGGCCTAAATTATCTTCATGTAGCTCAAAATATTTTGTGCAATTTTTAAGTACCAAATGAATGGCATAAATGATTATTACAGTGGAATATTAGTGGAAACAATGTTATTATGCACTGGTATGATTTGGAAAAGCTTCTTGGAAATATCAGAATCTAAGCTGAATAGTCCTTAAAGAGATTGTGTTTATGTGATTAAAGCCAAGGAAAGAAAATTTAGTGGCGATAAACAGAACAATCAAGGGTTTAGATATTATAAAATGTACAGGAGAAGAGAATTTAATCTGGCAACAAGAAAATTATTTCGAACTTTCAAGAACACAACTTTTGTAACTGCTATGGAGTTAACCAAATTTTAGGGTTGAAGGGATTCTGCAATGGTTTTCAAACTGTGCTCTCAGGGGTTCCACAGAGACCTCCAAAGGCTGATGCTGATGTGGCAAATGTCTGGTTCTAAGCTTGTCACCCCAAACTCAGGTCAGAACAGCTCCACTTCTGTACACTGAGGCTCTGAGCAAGGACTCCAAGGGTTTAGAGGCTAGAATGAGAATCTAACACAACTAATTTAGATCAATTCACTTATTTTATAAAAAAGAAATACTGAAGTGCATAAACATTAAGGTACTTGTCCAAGAGGTTAATGAGTGAATAAAATAATGAAGCAACAAATGCTACGAGAGAAGATCACTTATTAAGGAGGTTTGGAAGTGAAAGAAATGAGAAAAAGGAGATGAGAAGTAATAGGAGAAAATCCATTCAAGATTAAGTATTGTTAAGGATGGGGAGATGGATTTATCCAAAGGCAGAGAAGAAGAAGCCAGTGAAGAAGAGAAAATTAATATGAATACTAACCTAAAACTGAAATAGGATATTATGATGAATAATCAAAAGAACAAGATCCAAAGGAACTAGGATGAAAAGAGAAGGAGAGTACAGGTGTTATTTTAAAAAGAAGTAAGAATGGGTGCATATTTTGAAATAAAAAACGTTGATGATAGAGCTCATTAATATCATAAGATAAAGTCATTTCCCCAAAATGAGAAAGTATGAAAGAGAAAATTAATGAACTGATTAGAATCCAATTAATTCTGCATGACATTCATGAAGTGGAAGACTTTAATATTGTTAATAATGGTAATATACCCCATTTCAGTCAAAATAGAGGGTGATAACTTGATCCTAAAATTCATATGGAAATGCAAGGGATTCAAAATAGCTAAAACAATTCTGAAAAGGAAAAACTAAGTAGGAAGACTCACACTTTCCAACTTCAAAACTTACAAGTAAGCTACTGTAGTAAGCAAGATAGTGTGGTAATTGGCATAAGGACAGATATATATATCAAGGAACAGAATTCAGAGTCCAGAAATAAGCCCTTATATTTATGGCCAACTGACTTTCATCATAGGTGCTAAGGCACTTCAGTGGGGGAAAGATTAGTCTTTTCAAAAATAATGCTGGGATAATTTGATACCCATATGCAAAACAATGGAGCTGGACCCCAAGCTCACATCATATACAAATAATAACTCAGAATGGATCATAGGCCTAAATGGGAAAACTAAAACTATAAAAGTCTTAGGAGAAAACACAGGAATAAGTCTTGACTTTGGATTAGGCAGTGATTTCTTAGATATGATACCAAAAGCACAAGCAACCAAACAAGAAATAAGTAAAATTAAAAACTTTTGTGCTTCAAAGGACACAAGCGAAAAGTTAAAACACTGTAGCTTCCTGTGAGAAAGTTTGGCAAGTCCTCAAAATGTTAAACATAGAATTATCACACAAGCCTACAATCCTACTCATAGGTACTTGCCCAAAAGAACTGAAAACAAGGACTCACTCAGAGATCTGTATACCAATGCTTACAGAAGCATTATTCATAACCAAAAGATGGAAGCAACCCAAGTGTCCATCAACAGATGAATGGGTAAACAAAATGTGATATATACAAATAATGAAATATTATTTCAGCATAAAAAGAAATGAAAGTGATACATGATACAATATGGATGAACACTGAAGAAATTATGCTAAGTTAAAGAATTCAGAAACAAAAAGGACAAATGTTGAGTGATTCCATTTATATTAAGTACCTAGAGTAGACAAATTCATAGGGATAGAAAGGAAAATAGAGGTTACCAGTGGTGGAGGGAGGAAATGAGACTTACTGCTTAATGCTACAGATTCTTGTTTGTACAATTTTATATACAATTTTTCATCACTAAATTGCATGCTTAAAAGGATTAAAATTATAAACTTCAAGTTATGGTTTTTTTTTAAAAGTGTAAAGACAACCCATGGAATGGGATAAAATATTTGCAAATCATGTATCTGATAAGGGATATATATCCAGTATAACAAGAACTCTTACAACTCAACAGTAAAGACAATCTAACTTAAAAAGAAGCAATGGATCTGAAAGAAAATATACAAATAGCCAACAAGTACATGAAAAGATACTCAACATCTTCTCCAAAGAAAATATACAAACAGCCAATAAGGACATGAAAAGATGCTCAACATCATTACTTATTAGGGAAATGCAAACTAATACCACAATGAGATATCACTTCACACCCTAAGACAGTTAAAACTGTTAGCATGGATGTAGAGAAACTGGAACCCTAATATTTGGGTGGCAGGATTATAAAATGGTGAAGCTGCTTTGGAAAACAATTTTGCAGATCCTTAAAAATGTTAAACACAGAGTTACCATATGACTCAGCAATTTCCCTCCAAAGCATATACCCAAGAGAACTGAAAATGTATTTCCACACAAAAACTTGAACACAAATATTCATAAAAACATTATCCATAATAGCCCAAAAGTAAAAACAACTCAAATGTCCATCAACTGATGAACAAAATGTGGTACATTCAAACATGGAATACTATACAGCTATAAAGACAGAACAGAAATAAATGCTACAAGAATGAACTTTTAAAACCCTGTGCTAAGTGACAGGAGTTAGACAAAAGAGACCACCTACCATATATTCTACTCATATGAAATACACAGAATAGGCAACCCAGACAGAAAGTAGATAAAACATTGTCTAGTACTGGAAGGAGTGGGTACAGGATTTTAAAATGATGGAAAGTGTTCTAAAAATTAGATTGTGGAGATAGTTGTACAATTCTGTGAATATACTATAAACTATTGAATTGTGTACTTTAAAGGGGTAGATTTTTGATATTGTGAATTATACATAAATAAAGCTGTAATTCTAATACTGTATGATAATGTAACTGACACCATCCAAGATAAATAAAATTATTTCTTGCCTCAAAGGGCTAGTAATTAAATTTAAAATAAATTAAATGGGGAGGACTCATGTTTAAATTATCTGCTACATACTAACTGATGATCAAGAATTAAGAGCTTGTTTAACTAGAAGCAACATGAAATTTCCTTTAACAAAAAGATACTAGAAATATTAATGCCTTAAAAGCAATCTGTACAAATGCTCCTTTGTTGCTTTAAAAAAACAAAAACAAAAACAAAAACCTTTCACAGCCCCCTAAACTAAGTAGACCAATTATGATGGCTAAGTCAGTCAAAGATGAATGTAAACACAAATTCATCCACAGTCATTTATTTTTTGATCATCCACGTTCGCTATCCTTATTTCTAATCCTTTGTTTTTTGTTCTCCTTTAATACTTCTTTCCCCTTCCTTTTTCACTCCGCCATCTTCATGTTTTTCTCTCCCACTTTTTTCCCTCTTCTTCTCTCCCTTTTTAACTAGCAATTCCAGAAATAAGACATTTTAAAATTTAAGTTTCGTCACTTAAATATCCTTGTTTCTTTATAATTTAAATCATTTGAAAAAAAATCTACACAGGAAAAAAATCTTTCTCTTATCTTTGTCCCTCTATAGGTAACTACATTTATTTGTTTGGGTATGTTTCTTTTCCAGAGTTTCTTGACACAAGCATAAGCAAAAACAAATATATCCTCTTTAAAATTTTTCCTTCTTTCTTATGTGAAGGCAGCATATTCTATTCAGTGTTCGGCCAATTTTTTTTTTTTTAATTCAGTAGCTTAGAGATCTTCCCAATAGAAAAAGAGCTTTCTCATTCTGACAGCTGGTATCTTTCACTGATGGATAGACATACATACTGTAATTTATTTAACCAGACCCCTTTTAATTTCCAAACACTTCCTATTATAAATAATGTTGTAATAGGAACTTTGTCAATACATTAATTGATACATTTGCAGGTACACCGGTAGGTTAAATTCTCAAAACACAATTCCTGGTCAAATACATGTATCTGTGACTTTGAAATACATTGCCAAATTGGTCTCCACAGGAGATGTTAATGTGTAGCCCACCAGCCAGCCATGTATGAGTGACTGTTTCCCTATAACCTTGCCATATACTAATATGTTTAACTTTCTGAGGACTGCAAATCCAATATGTGAGAAAAGCAGTATCTCAGTATGAGAGTGACCACTTTATACGTCATTTTCTGTGAGCTGTCTGTACATTATCTTTCACCTATTTTTTAACTAGGTTGCCTGTCTTTTTCTTGATGATTTATAAGAGCTTTATTAAAGAGACAGTTCATTTATATGAGTTTCAGGATTTTTTCCTTTTTTTTTTTTGAGGCGGGACATACGGGAGGTGTAGTTGTTTGACTAATACGGGTTTAAATTTTTATGTAGCCAAATTTATCAATCTTTTCTTTTACAGATATTAGATTTTGAGCATTATTTGAATTTTCCCATTCCAATCTGTCCATATTTTTAATGAAACATATATAGTTTTATCTTTTACATGAAATCTGATACATTTGGAGTTCATCTTGAGGTAGAATGTGAGATATGGACAAAACTCCATCCAGATGGCCATCCAGTTTTCCCAACGTCATCTACTGAAAAGTTCAGCTTTTCCTGATCACATTTTTTTAAATCATTTCTTTATCATAATCATACAGTAGTAAGTTCCCTTGGTCTATCTGTAACCTTCTGTTCTGTCCCATTGGACTATTAGTAAGCCAGAACCAATGTGTTTTACTCATTAAGACTTTATATAATACACTTTACCACCTGGTAGGGCTATTCCCCATTGTTCTTCTTTTCTTTTCTTCTCCCCTGGTTGTTATGTCCAATTTCCAAATCACTTCTGAACTGGCTTGTCTAGTATCTGGCTGGGATAGGGCAAAAGGGAGTAGCCTGAAATGTTCAGGTTAACTGATGGAAAACCGATATACTTTATTGATACTGACTCTTCCCATCAGGGAAAAAAAGGGGATATAGCTTCCCATTTGATCAAATTCTGTTTTGTCCTCAAATAGTGTTTTAATAATTTCTTAATATGGAATTTTCTACATTTCTTTTTGTTGATATTATAAAAAATGTTTTCTTCCATTTTATAGTTTATTGTGTATGTGTACAAAAAGTATATGGTTTTCTGCACTTGTAATGAATTTGCTGGTGTGCAGTAATTTTTCAGTTGACTCTCATAGGTTTTCCCAGTTTACGATAATACTGTTTGCAAACATAGGGTTTTTTTTAACATATAATATTTTCCTCTTCTCTACTTTTGCTGGCTACTATTCTCAAACATTACATTAAAAAATAATAGTGATAATGTGTGCTGTATCTTGTTCCCAACTTTTGTATGTCTCTTGAATGAAAAATAAAATGACTGATACATATTTCCTTAAGAAACATAAAAACACTTAAATTAAATTTCTTTAGGAGAAAATCCCTTTATTTAAGAGCCCCTCTACTGGAAAAGGAAGATGATCTACATGCAGCATTTGAGTGATTTTAAGATTAACAGGAAAAGCTTACATAAAAATACCAAGAATTTTATAAATATTGTTTACAATTCAGGAAAGCAATAACATAGTGAAGGAGAAACAATCTCAAGGTATTCCACTAATGGTAATTTTCCAATACCCTAGGAGCTTGGAATTTCAATTCTAACAGTTATCAATGAGATCACCCCCACCCCCACCACCACTGCAGTGTTTCTCCCTAGTAAAAACTTAAGACACTGCACACACTGAGATGTTTACGGGTAAGAATTCTTACTAAAATACATGGATAATTATTAGGGCAAATTATATACAAGAAACTGGTAAGGACATAGCTTTATGTTAAACTAGCTTACTATGGCTTGACATATTAATCTGATTTTTGGCAGTTTCAACTAACTCTCTTCTTCCTCTTCAGCCATTCTAATCTGGCTTCTGCACTAACATTATCAAAATGGCTCTTGTGAATCACCTACAGGTTACCAAACACAACTACATGTTTTCAGTTATCTTAACAGACCTCTCAACAGCCTTCAGCTCGGGTGATCCTTTCTTTCTCCACGAATTCACTTTTCCCTTGGCTTCTATGACATTCATGCCCTTTCACCTCTGACTGCCCCTTCTCAACGCTCTTTCCAGCTCACCCTCCTCCCTCCAACCACAAAATGTTTTAGTTCTTCATGGCTTCCTCCTAAACTCCTTGCTTTTCTCATTCCATATTCTTTTCTTTGGGAGCAAGGGAAACATCTATTTCCATAGCTTTAATTACTGTCAAATCTGAGCTCTGGAGCACACGTCCAAATTGCCTACTGAACTTATCCACCTCTATGACATTTAGGGATCTCAAACGCATCATATTCCACACTAAACTTGTGATCTTCCACCCACAGCTTAGTCCTCAGATTCCCTAACTACATGATGGCACTTCCATCCATCTAGTCTTGCAAGCTGGGTTTTAGTGCTGGTCTCAGCATTTCTTAACTGTGAGACATTGAGCATGTTATTTAAACTCTTAAGATTTGATAGCCTCAATTGTAAAATAAAGATATAAATAAAACATACCTCTAAACTAAATGTTAAATGAGATAACCCGTCTTTATTTGAGAACAAAGTCTAGCACATTCTAACAGCTCAATAAATATCAGCTATTAAAAATAAAAATTAAGAGGTTGATGATAAATGATTATCATTATATTAACATATTGATTACAGTTATAACCCAATGACTGGGCTATATATCTCAAATGAAAACATCCTTAAGCTAGATAACTAATTCAGGGGAAAACAGGAAACAAGGAGGATTACTAAAGTAATTACATGGAACAGAAATCACACACCCAGAAAATTGCTTAAAACTTTAGAGCATATAGAAATACAAGAATATCTTTGGCATACAGTACTTCTGGGAGGCTAGACAGTTCATTTATCAGTCTAAGAAGAACCCATATGCTATGCAGGAAACTATACAGGAAATCATCTGAGAATAAATCACAACCAGTGAAGTATAAATTATTAAATAAAAACTGTTAAGTTGCCACAGTAACATACACATGTCAATCAAACTGACAAAAACCTAAAAGTCCTTAAGAAGTTAACTAATTAAAGTAGTAATATTTCTGGGCAGTGAGTTTTTTAAAACCCTACCTTTCTAGAAGTACAGAATGGTTTTCTTCCCCTAGAATGGAGATCAGAGAGAAACTTCAATGCCTGCATTTTAAATTTTAGAAACACTGGCAATGTTTGTGCATTTACAAAAATAACACATTGGGGTCACCACCTCCCTCAACAAAAGAAAATGAAGAAACAGTTCTTTCATTTTTTCTGGGCTTCTCTTCTTTCCTTTTGTAGAGCTATGAAATTACACATTTACAGTGTAATTTTTTTTAAGTAGTTTGGTTTCCTTAAGATGACATAGCAAATGACAGATGGAAAACTATTTCTTGGCTACCAGAGATTAGATTTTAGACTTCCACTTTACGAGACAGACAACTCTGAAAGATGATTAATCACCTCTATTAAGAGCAACATCCCAGGTAGACTCGAGTCAAATTTTTAATCATATGTAGAAAATAAACAAATAATACTGTCCTAATTCTGAAAATAAGCTGAACATCATACAATCATGGCAATTTACATATTTCATTTTTCTATCAGCCAATAAATGCAGACAATACACATCTGGCACTAATTATCCAAGCATACTAACACTAAGTAATTGATGTCCCAATGATGGCACCTGCACAGTGCAAGACCTAAAATGAAGTAGTATTAGTTAATGGTTAACACCATCTAAACATAGCATATGTAACTATTTTCTACTCATTTAAAAAACTAATTCAGAATAACACACAAGTCTATCTACTATAGAGGTGGTTTGAAAAGTTTTTTAAATTAGTAAAATGGCTGGATAGACGGGTGTCAGTATATCCCTACCAAAAAGAAATTTAAGTTAGAATACCAAAATGTAAAATAGATCTAAAACAGCAGTGAGCTAAGTTAACATCATCCTGAGTTGTAAACATTTCAAATTAGTCCATCTGTTTTTGAATTTAACATAAACCTCTAATTTCCAGCTACCTCTTGAAAACAAGTGCTCTAGAATAAAAGATCAACAATGAAGACTACATTAAGCACAAGGAGGGTTACCAAATCAACAGACGCTATACTGAATCCCCTAGACTGCACCCTGCAAAAAAGAAACTTGTCATCAGCTTATTTTCTTTCTTATGTGGTGTGGTCTTCATGTAAGACTGGACAAACACATACCTGCTTTCATTCTTTTTAAAAATAACTAGAGTATCAAAGGATGAAGGACCATTCTCTCAAAAACATACTCTGTTCATCAGTAAAATCCTTTTTCCTAATCAGGGTCCTTTGACTTTTTTTCCACCCTTAAAACTGTCTCTACTGTTGTCACAATATAGTGATTTGCCTCTTTAAATGAACCACAACCTACACTTATTTCACGTACAATGCACTTGAGAAATCCGGTGTACATGCTCTAATTTGAACAAGGAGCATAACATAACTTTTATGCAAAGAATTCAGGTTGTTTGACTCAAGAATTAGTGACAATTTTATGCAGTTATCTTTTCTGAATTCAGCTGTCAGTTAAACAGCTAAAGAGAGTGAACAAGCACTACAGGTACGAACATGGTATGAAGTGGTCTGCTCCAAGCACTCTACTTTTTAAAGTGTCACCTTAAAAATGCAGGTGAAATATGCATTCCAACCTAGAATATGTCTCATTTATATCTTTAGCTTCAATTTTTATTGAGCACCTACTATGTATACCAAACACTCTTAACATTTAAATCAACTCTATTCTTGTCAAGTAAATTATCCTTATTTGCCAAGGCTAGGAAACTTTTATTCAAAGTCACGGTGATAATGAACCAGACCTAGGGATGAACCCTGGTGGCCGCCTTTTTAGCACCAAATTCATCTACATCATGGTTTACCCAATAACACAGGAAGCTGCACCGAGGTTTTCATCATTTTGCAAGTACTAAGTGTTTGCCAGTGTTGGGAAAGGACAGGAAATGTCCAGGAAAATTATAGTAGTGGAATGGTTGGAACCCAAGTTTGTTTCTTTTTTTTTTACATTATTTGACTATTTGATGAGTTTTCACCAACGAACACCTTTGAAAGCATCACTACAATAATGAGTTTATATAAAACCAGTTTCCTGCTACTCTATGTAATCCCTTCCTCCTGCCCCTCTGTCCTTCCCTCTCCCACTCTCCAGGCGAACAATTATCTGCTGTCTGTCCCTATAGTTTATATTAATTATTCTTATAAATATTTTCAGATATACACAAAAGTAGAGAAGACTATAAAGAGCCCTCATGTACCCATCACTCAGCTTTAATAATTACCAATGCTAAGCAAATTTTATTTCAACTAATTCTTCCCATTCTTTCTTCCTTTCTTTCTTATTTTAATCAAGTAAACTTTTTACTGGAATATAATAACGGCCATACAGAAAAGCAAACAAATCATAATCATGGCTTGTTGAATTTTCACAAAGCCCACACAATTCATGTAACTAGCACCCATAATCAAGAAAGAGAACATCATCAGCATCTCCTAAGTGCCTCACTTGGCCATTAACCTGTCAAAGATAAACACTATCCAGACTTATGACACCAGAGATTAGTTCTGCCTTAACTGTTCTTATCGTGGAAATGTTAAAGCATATAAAAAAAAGTACACTGAAGGTTCTCTTACCACATTTTACAAACAAATTCCTTAAAATGTAATATACCTACACAAAAGTCTACAGAATATACATGTAGTCTGATGGATCTTCTCAAAGTGAACACAGCTGTATAATGAGCAGCCCAACCAAGGAAGAGAACACTGTTCTTAGGAATTACGTGCACTGCAGAAGCACCTCTATCCCTTCTCCATCAGGAATTACTATGCTGATTTCTAACAAATAATTCATTTTGCCTTGTCTATGAAATACACATGAATGGAGTCATAGAGTATGTATTCTTTTGTGCCTGGCTTCTTTAATTCAGTGTTATGCTTTTAAGATTTATCTATAATGCCATGTCCAGTATTCCATTCCATCATATGAATGTATTACAATTTATTCATTCAAACTTAATGGAAATCTGGGTTTTGATTTCAGAAAAAAAAAATCTCACTTTTGGGCTATTCCTAACAATGTTGCTTTAACATTCTTGTATATGTCTTCTGGTGATTATATGAACACTACATAAACATAAAACTAGAGTGAAAATGACAGATCATAGAGTTTATGTGGGTGCAACCTCAGTAGATACAGTTTACTAAATTGGATGTGCCAATCTACATACCCACCAGCATAATACATGAGTTTCAACTGCTCCACATCCTTGCAAGTACAGTCATCCCTTAGCATCCAGCAATCAAGTAGTCCCTTGGATCCACGGATACCAAAATCTGCAGATGCCAAAATTCAATCAACCACAGATCATGTAGTATTTCTGATCTGTGGCTGGATGACTCCATGGATGGAGAACTGCAGATACAGAGGGCAGACTATACTGTGTACCACTTATATTTCTGATTTTAGCCCTTCCAGGGTGTGTGCAAGTGGTATGAGGTTGCAATACTAAGTAATTTCCCTGATAGAAATGGAGCTGAGTACCCCTTCGTGTTTCCTGATCATGGTAAACTTTTTTGGTATTAAGCTTCTGCATTCTTTTCTATTAGCTTGTGGTTTTCTTAACAGATTAGTAGGAATTCTGTACCTATTTACAGGCTTAGTTTTCACTTTCTTAATAGTGTCTTTAATGAACAAAAGGTCTTAGCATTAACGCAACTCAAGTTTTAATTTTTTTCTACTATGACTAACACTTTCTATATCCAAGTTAAGAAAAGTTATATTCCACAGGTCTTTCTTCTATGTTTTCATTTTTTTCTCCCCGTGATATTTTCTGTTGATGTCTTCCATTTCATTAACCTTTTCTTTTATTGCCTCTATTATTCCGTTAAACTTATATGTTCTCTGTAACAATTACTGTATTTTTTAGTTATAAAATTTTCATTTTCCTATTTTTCATAGCTTGCAATTCTTTGGTAAAAGTCTCCATTTTTTCATCATTTGTGTCTTTTCTACTATTTTCTTAAACATATTAGTCATAGTTTAAATTTTAAAGCCCTTCTTTAGTAACTCTAATGTCTGGATCACCCAAGAGACTGTTTTTATTATCTTTTTTCATCTTGCCTTTCTGTGATTCCATCCCATCATTTGGAATGCAATGTGATTTTTTACTGAATGCAAAATACACTACATGAAAAATTGTACAGGCTCTGGATGATGTTATCTTCTTTTAAAGAGGGTTCACCCTTTTTCTGAGCACATAGTGTGGGAGATGATAACCTAAATCCCAAAATGGATTAAACCAACTTGAGGCTGGGTTATTTTATAGCAAATCCAAGACATTGGCTTTTCAAAATAAGAAATGCTTCTTCGCTTGACTATTTCCTGTCTACTCTCAAAAATGGTCAGTAACAAGCAAATTGCCTTAGTGCTTTAAAATTTAATACTTAGAACTAACAACTATAATACTTTTACAATAGTAGTTCTAAATTTTTACATAACCTATTCTCTCTGATGTTATCAGATCTCTATGAATTTCATTATGTACTTTAAGATTATTCAGTGTGAATGATGATCTTTGCTTATTTCAAATGCACCATTGATTTAGTAATGTGGTAAGAGCATTTTAATTGTTGCAAAGCATGAATCTGATAAATTACATCCTACATATAATTAAAATAAATATAAGTCACATGCTAAAATATTTTCCAAAGGTAATTTATTTTCCATATGATGTAAGTTAATTTCTTTTAGTGATTCAGTTTGGTACTAAACATGGATTTAAATGAAATACACAGTTTAAGCAGTTTTTTAGGTAAGAGATGTTATGTAAGAACACTATATTACCTACTGAATATAAAAAATATTCATACTGTTCTTTGAAACATATAATAAAACTTCTGCTCTATACTTAATAGGCAGAAAATAAAGCCTAATATTCTTGGCAAATTTTTGTTTTTGGATTTCTGCATATTTCAGAAAACACATTAATGTAAAATTCATTACCATTTACTTTTTATTTTGCATTACAGTTAGAAATATGAAGTTAATATTATATGCAAAATAAAATTAAGTGCAGTATTATCTTGGAAAATATCAAGAAGTCTTTGAAGAAAACAATGGTTTTCTATCAATTAGAAAAAACAAGTCTATAAGAGAAAAAATAACAAATTACATATCTGATATATAAATAAACATATGAGGAGTACTCAAAACTCAACAATAAGAAAGCAATCTATTTCTTTTCAAATGGAGAAAAGAACTGAAGAGGCACTTTACACCCCTTCTGTCAAAATTTGATATATACACACAGATTGCAAATAAGCATATGAGAAGAAGCTTAACATAGCTGGTCCTTAGGGAAACATAAATTAAAACCATAATGAGATACTAGTACACACCTATTAGAATGGCCAAAATAAAGAAATGTGACAATGTTACACACCGGTGATGATGCAGTTTCAACTGGAACTCTCATAAGTTACTATGGGAATGCAAAACGGTACAATCATTTTGGAAAAAAGTTTTATGGTTTCTTATAAAATTAAATATTCACTTAACATGTGACCCAGCAATTCCACTCTTAGGTAGTTTCCCAAGTGATGTGAAAATACGTTCACAAAAAAGCTGTATACAAATCTTTATAACAAATGGTTATGGAAGCTTTATTCGTAAACACAAAAAACTAGTAACAACCCAAATATACCTTAAGTAAGGAATGGAGGCATCAACTACGATATATTCATACAAAAGAATACTGATCAACAATAAAAAATTTAATTACCCATCCATCAACAAATAGGAACGGAAAAAGCCAGATTCAAAAGGTTACATACCATATGATTCAATTTATATTATATTCTAGAAGAGGCAAAACTAAAGAGACAGGAAGAAATATCAGTGTTTGCCACAGGTTGGGAGTGGGGGAGAGGCTGACCTGAAAACTGCAGGGGAATTTGAAGAGCGACAGAACTGGTCTGTATCTTCACTGTGATGATGGTGGGTTACACAAATTTATGCTTATATTTTTATATACATAGTATATGCCCTAAAAATGATAAATCTCATTACATGTAAATTATGTATAATTTAAAATAATGAAAATGTATAATGTATAATTTAAAATAATGAAAAAAAACTGAAGCCAACAAAACATACTGCCCTTAAGATGAAAAAAAAATCTCAAACTATATACATATTACACAAAATATTAGAAAAATCCTCAGCTATTTTGCAAAATAAAACACTATTAGCCCACTATCCTCCAAAAAATCAAAATTTTCCAACTTACAGGTGAATAGATATGATACTAAGAATTTATTAAAATTTTCATTGATTATTCCTGTTTTCTCAGTGAAATAAGAAGCAGTAATCAGCTGAAAGTGAGAAGGTAGGAGGAAATGTTGGAGATTTACAGAAAGGAGAAAGTAAGAAATAATTGTTTGGGAGAAAGGTTGGCAAGCTTTATCTGTAGAAGTAAGACAGTAAATATTTCAGTCTTTGAAGATCATACAATTTCTGTCACAATTACTCAACTCTGCTATCATAGGGAGAAAACAGCCATAGCCTTTACGTAAAGGAATGGGTATGGCTACGTTCCAACAGAATTTTTAATTACAGTAACAGGTAGCAGGTGGAACTAGTCCATGGGGTGAAATATGGACCCTGTTTAGATGTGGCAGGATGAATAGACTAAGGAAACAAATAAATTCTAGTAGGCATTAAGGGCCTACTTAAAATTTAAAGTGACCCTAATTCAGTAAAACTTTCATTCTAGCGATAGAAAGGGTTAAATATCCCAAATGGGACTGCATCAAACTAAAAAGCTTTTTTGTACAGCAAAGGAAACCAGCAACAAAATGAAAAGGCCACCCACTGAATGGGAGAAGATATTTACAAATGATATATCTGACAGGAGGTTAATACCCCAAATATACAAAGAACTCACACAACTCAACATTGAAAAAGAAAAAACAAACCAACCAGATTTTAAAATGGGCAAAAGTCCTGAATAGACATTTTTTCAAAAAAGACACAAAGGTAGTCAAGAGGCACATGAAAAGATACTCATCATCACAAATCATCAGGGAAATTCGAATCAAAACCGCAATGAGGTATCACCTCACACCTATCAGAATGGCTATTATCAAAGGACAAGAAATAATAAGTGTTTGTGAGGATGCGACAAAAAGGGAAACTTAACGCACCGTCAGTGGGCATGTAGAGTGGTGTAGCCTCTATGGAAAAGTGTGACGGTTTCTCAAAAAAAATTAAACCTAGAGTTACCATATGATCCTGGAATTCCACTTCTGAGTATCTTTCCAAAGGAAATGAAAACACTAGTAATTTGAGAAGATATACACAACCCTATGTCCACTGCAGCATTAACAGCACCCTCAAATGTCTCCCGGCCAGTCCCTAATATTTATGTCCATGGCTTCTGCATATGGGAAACACCTGCATTTGTCACTAAATCCTAACACTTTAAAATAGTATCTTTTCTAGGTTCCAGGCTCCCATGAATCCATCGTCCATTTCTCCCTAATTCTCATATAAAAAATAAAATATCTTAATAACAGGGATATTTTTCCTATAGGAATAAGTTAAGACTTTCTCAAGACTCTAGAGTTACAGCTGATCAGACTCCATGTCTCTCTCTTCTATCCAATGATAAAGAACTAAAAGCTAGATGAAGTAGGCAAGAATATATCCAAGTGATTTTTAAGGATGAAGAGTTTCTCCATTATATAAGCATGACAGGCCTATAC